CACGGTCGCAGCAGTTCTGCACCACGGGCAGCAGAGCTTCCTCGACCGCCCGTTCGTATATGCCGTTGGCGTCTACCTCAACATCCTCTTCGTCGAACTTGCCAATGCGGATTTCGAATGGCTGAGAGATGTTCATCACATTGTGACTGCCAGCGTGGTGAAAACGGAATTCAAAGACACCCTGGGTCCACCACAAGCGATCTCCCTCAAAAATGACCTCGCCCTCCACAAGATCAGCTTCTGACGGATCCTTCTTCGATACAGGACGGTCTGGAACCAAGATGGCCTTGTCTGCGGTGGCTGCGTCGTAGTTGCCTGGAGTTGTAGGAACCCATCGCCCCAAAGAAGAGACTTCGGTGATGTCCCTGGAGTGGTTGTCGGTAACCATGTACAGGCCGATCCAATCTTTGCTGTCGTGCTTGGCTGGGGCACGCCATTTGACCTTGAGGGGAGCACCGTATTCGAAGATTTGCGTCTCAACACCGCGAGGGAAACGCGCCGTCACACTCTCCTTGCCAGTAGCCCGCTCATTCGCGGCGGAGAGGCTCGAGGGAGTGCCTTCAACCGTGAGAGAGTAACATTTGGGGTTGAGGCCTGCAAGGTCTGGAGATAGCCTTGTGATGGTCAACCGCGCGGGATACTTGTTGAAGAGAGCGGAAGTATCGCGGACAATAGTCTCGATGCCTGCGGCAAATTTGGGGCGCGCAGTGTCGAGGAACTCTTCGATAAACTGCGCGGTGCCGTCAAGAACCCTGTCAACCCCTCGCTGCCAGCCTTGGACTGGCGGGGGAAGAGACCGCTTGATGAATTTGGTGAGCCCCGCCTCTTGGCGCACGCTCCTGCCGTAGATTTTCTGCATGTGCGGCTTCTCAATGAAGTTGATGAAAGCCAAAGTGAGGATCTGACTGATCAGTGCCATGACGAAGATGGCTCTGCTCCAAGTGATTAGGGCAAGCCCCCACAAGCCTGCGGTGCCGAAGATGCGCTCAGGGTTGTTGAGGAAGCGGTAAATGGACTTGTAGGTCAACTTTGCTGTTGAGTCGTAGAAGAAGTCCCCAAAGAACCAGCCAAATTCTCCGAGCGAGTCGTAGACGCTCACAGAGGTCCAGATCTGAAGGGCAACAAGACCCGCACCAACAACGTGCTTGAGCAGAACCCAGCCGTAGGCCCAGTCCTCGGGAGGAGAGTACATCTTCCAGCAAGCTGCCAAAAAGGAACTTGTGGACATGACCAAGCTCAAGTGGTACATACCCTTCCATTGATTCCAAGCCTCAGTGTGCGTCTCGCCGAACTTGAGGAAGTGCCTTGTCCAAAACTTGTTCTTGGATTGCCCATAAAGGATCGCTCCGAGACCCAAATGATACCACACGCGCCAGAGCAGAGCATGCGACAGGAATATGGCCTGAAAAACTTGGGTTGAGGGCGTGACCAGAGTAAGGATAACCAAGTAGAGTCCAAGCAAGAGAACCGAGGTGTCAGTGATGCGGAATAAGTCGAAGTTGCCTAGACCCAGCATGTTGTGTACTTGAGGTGGGCCTTCTTTGTTTGTCGAGGCTTGTTCGACCCAAACATCTTCAGTATCTGAGGACGGCTTGATAGCGACAATCTCAGATTTCTCACCGACGGCAGTCGACACGGTTCGCTTGCGTGGGGCAGGAGGATTGTAGGTTTTCTCAATGTGAGGGTTTTCAACGATCACCAAGAAGGCAAATTGGGCGAGGTGTGCAACGACGGAAATGAAGAGCACCTCATAACTGGCAGCCATCATGGAAATGCCGTAGTAGCCAGCGTACCCAATTGAGTACATGGGATGAGGAGCCATCTCGAACACGCCGTCAAAGTTCAGCTCTTGGTCAATGAGGTAGAAGAAGTCACCCCAGTACCAGGCATAGTCCTTCACGACCCGGTGAGCGTCTAGCTTCACCCACAAGTTGAAGAGAACGAGCAGGATGCCGACAATCCATCGACCGGCACCGAGCAGAAGGCTCTCGCCCTCGGGGGTGTGACCACAGATGATGGCAAAGAGACAGTAGGACACGAAGTCACACATCAAGATCAGATCGACAACACGGCGGAAGACGAGCCAGGTGTTGTACTCCATAGGAGCCTTCTCGAAGCTGTAATCTTCAGGTATCTTTGCCTCAAGTTCTCGCTTGAGCATGTTATAGAGCCAGGGCCTTGGCTGCTTGCCAGAGCTGGGATGCTCAAAGAGTTTCCATCTAGCAGCCCACGTCTCCAACCTGCGGTGTTGGGATTGAATGGTGAGAAGATAGCCAATGCCGATGTTATAGGCTGCTCTCCAGAAGAGAAAGACGAGCGCAAAGACGGGGCGTTTCCAAGAGGCCGGGATGAAGTAGGCGGCGCCGATCTGTAGGGCGAGGATGGCCAGGACCAGCAAATCGGAAAGATTCTTGGGTTGTCTCGGGTCGAGCAACTGCGACACCATGTCATGGGTCGTAGGAACGGTAAAGACTGGGCGTAGAGGGCCACGTCAGCCTCCAAAACCAAGTGGGAGTCAGAGTTGAAGAAAGCAACCATGCAGCCTACCTGTACCGTCAGGAGTACGACCAAAGGTCTTGTTGGGTTTCTGGTCAACGTCTAGGTCTTGACTGATGTCAGACGACTGAGACTGGTCGTCTCTGAGAAGTGAGGCATTTAGGTCCTCGGTGTGGGCGGCGGAGGACACAGGCCTCTGACGCTGGCGAAGACCAGCATCATTGGAGTTGTAATCGGTCGAGGAGGTCATTCTGGTAGAATGGTTGGCGGTTGTTGAAAATGCCGACGTCCTGTAGAGAGACTGATGGAACTTCACACACAGGGGGGTCGGTAAGGGCGAAGTGCAAGAGTAGTTCTGATGCTCAAGGTGTCCATGAGCTGCCAGTTGTCTAAATACCTGGTCTAGTAAGGTATGCAGAAGTTGGTGGGTTGCAGGTGGTTGTGCGCATGAAGTAACGTACGTGTGTGAAGAGACAGCGGCAGGAGGGGAAGAGGCAAGTACCTTACCTTAATATGAGGTGTTGAAGGTTAGACGTGGAATTACGACACAGCGACCAGGGGGGGTCGGTTTCCAGTGGGAAGTCCTCCAGAGAGGGCCCCACCATTACACTAGAGCAGTGCACTGAGGGTGGGTTTTTGGGATGAAAGTGCCCGCCCGTCCCGCCCAAAGGCTTTGGATCACATGTCATAGAGACACCAGAGTTTCCTTTTTCAATGTCAAAGGGACAATTGTTGAGGCTGGCCTCAGGCCAAGTGGCCAGGTGCGGACCACTGCGGCAATCTGACGAGACCCCAATTACTACCTACTTTACCAAGAGCAAGAAAGACAGACAGAGAGAGAGAGAGAGAGGGAGAGAGCGAGGGTGAGAGAAAAAGAGAAAACTGGCCCCCCTCCTTCTCCTTCAACTCAGTGAGCCCAGAGCACCACCGCCACCATAACAACCTCAGTTTGGGGGCGGCAGACCCAATCAAGCATCTGCCCGGGCGCAGATCCGATCTTACAGGCAAAGAACCTAAGGTCTTCAGATAACTTACCTTACTTCTAGTTACTATACCTAAGGGTGAATTAAGAGAATAGTAACCTTAGTAACCTGCAACCACTAATTGCCTACTGCCATCTACCTCTCACGCACTCAGCCGTCAGCAGGTACAACTGCGTGTCTCAGACGCACACGTGCAATCGCGCTCGAGTGTTGTCCCGAGCCCTAACCACCCCAGCCAGCCACCGCCTCAGGTCAACTCGATGTCTTTCTGGGTCTAGGTCTGCCTGGTCTACCTTACCTCAGGTACCTACTTAGTGCCCACGGCGGAAGAGAAAATCCTTCACTGCGCTTCCAGCGTTTTCCTTCACAACGGCACCCAGCACATTTCATAGGTTGTCCCACGCGGGATGGGATGCTAAGGCAACCTGCAGGCAGGACCACCTTCCCGACTGCGCCAAGCCGCGCCCGGATGCGGGGCACGCCAACGACCTCTCGGAGAAGCCCAGCTTACTTACCTAACTCAACGTGTGGTGTCTTTGCAGCCTGCCCGTCTCTCGTCTTCTTTCGCGGCGCTTCTACTAAGCGAGGGTCTCACTAGACGCTTGGACACCCATGTACCTATCTAAGGTACCTTAGCTACCTACCTAAGGTAAGGTAAGGTGCCTTACATAAGACCGTCTGGTGCCCGATAAGAGACGGACGGAGGCTGGGCCGATAAGCAATTCAAGGGCTCGTCGCCGAAGGGAACGCACCTACCTACTCTCACTTACAAGTACAACACATCCCTCTGCAACTTCAACCCCTGAGCTTGAGGTCTTTCCAGAATGCCTTCAAGATCTAAGAATCCCCTGACAAGTGTCACATCGAGCCAAAACTCCCGTTGCAACGGCAAAAAATAAGGCCTAACACAAAGCTTCGAGCGGAGCCGGTCCAGCATCCTGCAGACAGGGCCATGCCAGTCTCACCACGCGATGCGGAACAGGAACATGAACACTCATCAACAACATCCCTCCGCCAAGTTCACGCGCATTCAAGCGCGCCACGCGTTTTGATTTGGTAGCCATGCCACCAAACACACCTCTTAGTAACCACTCATTTGCCTGGAGACTGGTCCAATGGAGGGAGCCCCTCAAGTTCGGCATCCCTGGCTGGGATTCGCGCTGCCCCTCCAGGGTACGCCCGTTTTTTGCATGAACTTCTAGAATGACAGCATCAAAACACACCCACCTCGCACAAGGGCCCCTTCCTGGCTCAAATTTCTCACCGGCGGGCGCGCTTTGAAGAGTCGCTTCGTTCGGCAGTTGTATAAAGACTGCCGGCGGAGGTCCAATCCCTCTTCTGAAAGCCTGACTTACATGTGGTTTTGCCTGCCAAAGCGTCTTAACTGACCTCCATTCGTTCATTGACTCTCACACACACATATTTGATACTCACTCACATAAGCGGGATACCGCCCCTCGCTAGGGAAGACATATCCTGATAATCATATACCACCCCTTGCCACCAAACAGAGCAAAAGACATGGCACGCGCTACCCCGACAGCCTCTCTGGCAGGCGACAAGCCCTTGCCGACCCGCCCCGGCACTTCAGGCACGGAGAACCTTCTTAGGACGAACCGCCGCCAAGCCTCAGACAATTACCAGCGCGCCCAGCGTGCAGAGAGAACCTACCGGGCCAAGAAGCGCGCCACCGCCGCCCGCGCCGACCTCTCCGACGCAAAGACCCACTACGCCGAGTGCTTCAAGCACCTCACCCGCGGCCTGGCCGTCACCTTTAGCGCCGTCAAGTCTCTCCCGTACGTCTTTGACGAGAAGCAGGAGGCCGCCCGCCAGAAGGCCGAGGCCAAGAAGAAGCAGCGTGCCCTCGAGAAGAAGAAGAAGCTCGAGGAGAAGCTTGCGAGGGAGAACGCCGCTGCCGAAGGCGAGACCCCGGCTGAAGATGCCGCCGCCGAGGATGCTCCTGCCGAGGAGAACGCCGCATGATGGACCATTCGCAGAGTCGAGTCGATTACGTGGTTGAAAGGAATCTAGAGCCAGACCGAGACTTTGCAGACGGACTCCTCGTGCTAGCTCTCGAGCTCCGTCTCGCATCCTTGTCTCGCGCCCATGTTTCCCTCCAAGTCAAATACACACATCTCTACCCCGCCTTCAGGACCTCACTCTGCGACGGGTCTCTCAGCTTCGTGCGCAACCGCGCAGGAACGCGCCATTCCCTCCGGCCCAACATATCGACAGCAACACAACAAGACAATGACGACACATCATCGACAAATACCAACCACAAGGACGACACAATCGACCAAAAGAAGAAAAAGCCCTTCACAAGGGGGAAAAAAACACAAGAACGACACTCGTAAGCATCGCAATCTACGCTCATGGACAACACATTCGCTTTCCCGCCCTCGAGGCACTCACATTCGCTTGACTACACACACCATCAACCCATTTTCCTTATTCTCCTCGCCTTTTTTTCTTTCCCCGCTCTTTGTTACTTGTAGTACTGCTTGCTCTCGGCAGCAACATTTTACGGCCTTGGACGAGATAATGATGACGGAGCCGACATACAGACGGACTCTCCTTGTAATAAACACACCACAATCACTTGGGCACGTAAAATGGGGGAACCGGCGGCCACGTTTGGGTCTTCTCACTCGGCGTCTTGTCGAAGGTTTCCATCTTTCTCTGCTTATTCATGTTATTTTTCGACCTTTCCTATGTAACTGTCCTTTGAATGTTCTTGCTCCAGGTTGCTGGAGAAAAGGGGGGCGGGAAGAGGGAGAGGATGGTTCGATGCGGTCAGGACGTCCCTGCATCAGAGATACCTACTTTGCGATTTTTTTTTTTCTGAATTTGAATATGACGGCATACCTTGAAACAAGAGACTCTTCATGCCGTGTCCACTGTGTGAAAAATCTGCGAATCCCGTAGACTAGGATCTTGTCTTCTTCGTCTCTGAGGTCCTGGTACAAACAGAGCCAACGCGCCATCTAGCCCAACAAGACCAACGGCCTACGCGTGAAGCCCAACACACCGCCGCGACGGGCTACCTATTTCCATGAGATCATGACTTTGCATTTCCGAGAGAGAGAAAAAGGATGAACTACCAAACCCCAGGATGCCAATTTTAATACCGATGCCGTAGCCGTATCTCCAGTAGTAGCATCATAAAAACCGTCGTTACCGCTCCACACCGTTCCCTCTTCAACCACATTGCAACTCCCTCTTCTGCTCGCGCTTAGTTCGCCTTCTTGGCGAACTCGACTCTGAGAATCAAGTGCTTGAAACCGAAACCGTCCATCTTGGCGCAGGCCTTGACGGCATCGCTCCGGTCTGCGAAGCTGATGAATGCGAAACCCTTGGCCAGACCCGTCTCTCTGTCCTTGGCCAAGAACACACGAGTGACCCGACCGAATCGCTCGAACATGTCGCGCAGCTCCTGCTCCTCCGCCAGCTCCGAAACCTGTGCAATTCACAATTAGTAACCCACGTACGAACGACAACATCTGTGAGGGATAAAGCCCAATGGAGATGACTCACGTTGGTAACACGCAGGGTAGCCAGGTCGTCTCGCTCGCCGTACTTGCTGCCGCCCATCCTGTCTCCGGCAGCAGCGCCAGCGGCGCCAGCTCTGAGCGCAGGCGGGACATAGCTTCCCTTCTTGGCCCCCGGGCCTCCAGCAGCAGCAGCAGCAGCTCCCGGCTCGTCTCCCATCCCGGCGGCAACGTCGGCCGTGCCAGTCTCGGTGCCGATCGGGGCCATGGTGTCCTTGTAAGGGCAGCGGGCTGTGAAATGCTCGCCGTTGCAAATACGACACTTGACCTTCTTGTCCTTGAGCTTGTCCTTCATGGCCTGGGCGTTGGGGTCCTCGCCCTGCTCCTTCTCATCCTTGCGCCAGTTCGTGCTAGGCCGGAAGATGATGTTCTCACCGACGGAGGTCGTGTCGGGGGCGGGACCGGCGGGATCCTTGGCGCTGAGGCCGAACTTGGACCATGTCTTGCGCTCGGCGACGCGCGGGTTCACCTTTTCCGTGTGCGTGGTGTAGCGGATGCGGCGAGTCGTCTTCACCTTCTGGCCCTGATCGTTGTAACGGAAGGTGATGATGGTCTTGGTGCCGTCCTTGTTGCTGATGGTCTGGGGCGCGGGGAGGTCGGTGGTGGTCTCGTCGACATCTTCGTCGTCGGCCCAGTCGTGCCTGGACAAAGGGAAAGAAGGGGAAGATCAGCATTTCTGTACACCCATCTCACATGAAGGTTTCCCCTTGGCGCTCTTCCTCTGCACACAACTACTTATCCCAGCGCTATTTCCAGAGGAGGGGGGTAGGGGCTTCTGGGGGAAATGACTGACTTGGTCTTAGGGGTGGCCATAATGGATCTCTTTCTCTGATTTCTGTCCTATCTCGAAGTTGTCAGGAAGGTGATCACGGGTTCTGGCTCGATCGAATCGTGGGTTCGAGGATTGTCAGTGTCGACGAAGCGGGTTGTCGCGATGTCCGATTTCTTGGTGGGGTTCTTGAGGTGATGAATTTTGTGATTTTCGTGGTGCGTCTCCGAGCTTTAGTGTGGGGCAAGCTCGCTATACCGTTTCGGGTCTACCTGCCGGTTTTTTACCACCTCCGTTTTCATTACTGTGGCAACAAGGGCAACACGGTGGAATGTGGACCGTTTTGTAACGGCACCTTCCTGTAGTTTCCCATTGAAGTCTAATTCGACCTTTGAGTGACAATCCAGATGTGAGTCAGTCTGAGACGAGTCCACGAAACACCAATGTTGTGCACCACAAGACACTCGCCGTCCAAAATTTCCATGTTGAATGCTTCTAGCCTTCCCCGAGGTCATCTCGAGGGGATGATGCTTAGCCCGTCCGCTACTAATACAAAAATGCAGGTCATACACTACGTCAACAGGTGTTATCCCAAGGATATCTACGTCGCCTTCTGTGTCATCCAAACCCCAGCCATGATGTATGCCCGCCACCGCCGAAACGGTCCAAATGCCGTCCAGATGGTGATTCATGGAATTGGCCCCTTCTTTCTATCCGTAAACGCCGTTTTGCGCAGCTGAAGGGGTATGACGCAAACAAGGTCCCAAACGATGAAAAATGACAAAAATAAAATGACGTATGAAACGAAACACCTGTGCCGCCTTAGGCAGTTCTACGGACCGTAACCAAGAGACAGAATGGAAAAGGAAATGGTGGTTCATGATCGAACAAGTGAATGACAAGTCAAGCGTTCTCGCGCGCCTTCTGAGGGATTGGAGGCAGCGCGCAGCTTGGTGGTGGTGCGGGTGGGGGCCCCTCGACGAGCTGCGGCATGCTTCGTCTGCCGAGAGACCTGGAGTCGGCTCGGAGATGCCTGGTCGACAGTGTTGGCGGAGTACTGGGTACTCGGGGTGACGACCTTGACCTCGGTGATACCGAGGCGGTCTTTGGGGATACCAACATGGGAGCAACTGTCCTCTCTTGCTCCGGGCTGGCGCTAATGGTAGAGAGCGGGGAAGAAGCGTCGAAGAAAGTGCTCGGTCTTCTGGGGGTTTGTTGGCAGGCTTTCGGTGAGTGGAGTTGTCCAAACTCGCCCATGGGTGAATGGGCAACGGGTAACTCGTCGACCTCGTTGGCCGAAGGCGTCGGAGGAGTCCTCGAAGGCAGGATGAAGGTTCTAAGCTCCGGTGAGAGGGATGCCTCCCCCGGCTTGTTCAGCGAAGGAGAGCTCGCGTACTTTCGCGGGCTGGTACGAACTGTTACTGTAGCAGCCTGCTCTCTGGGACTGAGACTCGTTTGTCTCGGGGGGTAGGCGGCTAAGCCGTCGCCCTGCTGGGCTGGGGCAACCTGTTGCTGGCCAAGTGAGTCGATGAGGCCTTGCACTGGGGAGGGCTGATCAGCCACCATGGAAAGCGGGCGAGCCATGGCAAGAGCAGTGGGAGGCGGCTTGCGCATGCTTCTTGAGCTCGAAAAAGAGTCCCGGTTTCTGACTTGCTCAGGGCTCGCTGTGGGTGACTTCATGGCGCTGTAGCGCCTACTGATGGGCACGCTGAAGTTTGCAGCAACTTGTGCAAGCTCATGTTCACTGTATAAAGTGGATTGAGGGCGCGACATGGGTGAGCTTCTCAGCTCAAGGTAGCCCGATGTCTGCAGTGACTGTCTACGATCAAGGATTGCCGCGGCGTTGGGCCTCGGCCGGACCGTAGGCACCTCCTGACACGGAGGGGGGAGATCCTCGAGGTAGCTGCTGGCAAAGCTATCGCGAACGGGGGAGCACGCAGGCGAAGAGCCAGCCGAGGTCATGAATGTGCGTTGACCAGATGAGATGTAAGAGAGACGGTTGGTGCTATCCCTCAGGCTCTCCAACGCCCGGTCGTCGTGGGACATGACACTATTGGTGGTAGAGATGTCATCGATGGAGGGTTCGCGGGTCATGTCAGCGTCGATGGAAGAATGGCGTTCAGAGTCGTGCAGCCTGGCCTGCTCCAGGTGAAGGCTGAAATCCGGAGGGAGGACTCGCGAGAACCTATCCGGGTCGCGGACAATCAACGTCCGCTGACTAGGCTGCGCCTTCAGCTGTACAACGTTGTCATCAGCTTTAGGCTTGCCAGTCTCAGAAAGATTCTTCTTGCCGCCAAGCGCCTCGATCTCCCGGCGCAGGACCGTAATCCAGGAATCCATTTCCTCCGCGCTCTCAAAAACCATCAGGAAATTGGCGGCGTGTCTCTTGTCGGCGGCGCGGAAGGGAAGTCGGGACAGGAGTGATCGCGAATCGGCAGAAGACATGCCGTTGGATTCCATTGCTGAGGAAACCTGGAGAACCCAATGACGTCCGGGAATGGCATCGCTGACGAAGGCAGCAGAATCCTTACCCAGATGCAGCATCTTTTCAGGCAGACGGTCGAAGTTGCCGTCACCAGCATACTGCAACAGGTAGCCAGAGGTGCAGAGGACGTATATCTTGGATGTCCACTCCAGTCTGGTGGTGGAGATTGTTCTCAGGTGCTTCTTTCTCGCCTTTTCGTCAGGCTGGTCATCGCCAAGGTCGGAGGCGAGGTTCAGCTGGGTCAGGTCATCGCGCAGGCTGATGCTGCCCTTCCTGTCATTGAAACGCAGTATAACGTCGGCCGACGTGGTGCAGGCGGGAAGCTGCGCGTGCTTGATCGCTTGGGGGTATGCTTGAAAGAGTGGTGGGGGATCCCAGGTCGCGAGATTGCCACGAGAGGATCTGCCGGATGGTGTCTGTGACCTAGATCGCTCGGTGGTGGTCGGTCTTCTTTGGATGGAGGAATCGGTGAAAGGCGCGTTGGTAGCCACTGAGGTTGGTCGTGAGGCGGCGCCAGATAGTGTGATTTCGGATCTCATGTAAGGCCAGTGGCTAATTTCGGCCAGAGAAGCTCGGATACTACTTGGTCTTCCGGTGTCGAAATAGGATGTCGAGCTGTCGATCTCGCGGACATTCTTATTCCTCCCAAATATGCTCCGAAGCCCCAGGCGCGAATCTCGTCTGCTGAGCCTATTTTCTGAGCGCAGAGGAACGCGGTTCTGCTGCTCGGCGGGGGCAGAATCGAGATCTGGAGGTCGAGAGCGGCGGGACTGAGTGGCGCGGTACTGGAGGGTCTCAGCAAAAGTGGCAGCGCTGGGGCTGCTAGGCTCAACGTCGGCCATGGCTTGGTGGTTTGTTCCAGCCAGACGTTGAAGTGGTGTGAAAGTTCACGGAAAGGAGAGGACCAAAGTGATTACAGGTTCCAGTCGGAAGAGAGCGGGTGGTGACCTGAGTATAAGACAGAGAAGGACGGCGGCGCGCTTTGGCATAACAAGCAGCAGCGGGTGGATTCGGTAATGTAAGTTGAGATGGTAGGCATAAGAAACAATCGAATGTGGCCAGGGTGGTGTGGTAGTGGTGGATCGTGGAACCAAGCTCTCTGTATCCCAGCAAGCAAACTGTCGGAGTAGGGTTGGAAACTATTGACGTGTGATGAGAGGGACGTTGTGGGCGGGTCGAATAAGTTTTTGAGGACGAAGACTCGGTTGCGTCGCGGTAGCTGGCATGAAGCTGGTTGGCTAGGTGTGTCTCGTGTAGGTGTGTGGGTGCGACTGAGCCGGCAACGGGTGAGTGATGAGAATAAGGATAAAAAGGGTACCGAGCTCGATGAGTAGTAGTGTTCACGGCAAGGTCAGGTTGATCAAGTGAGGGCCCGCCTGACGTACCACTGCAAGAGCCGGACGCAGTTGCAGAGGGAAGAGAAGAGGATAAATGAGACAGCAGGACGACAAACCTCCAAGGAAGAGCAGGACGGACGGGGAGGGCATTCGGGGATATTCATAATAATAATAATAATAATAACAATAATAACCGAGCCAAAGCAAGAGCCATCCTGGAAATGGGGGCCAGCGTGAGCGTAGGTAGGTAAGGTAAGGATGGAAGGTACGTGGGGTGGTACCTTAGGTTACTTTTCCCGCATGCCTACCTTCCATAAGGTAGGTAAGGTACCTATGTGACATTGAGGTTGGTACCTAAGGTACCTACCTACCTGCTCAGGTCGGATTAGAGCTGGCAGCAGAGAGGCGCGGGTACCTGACGGCAACCTAAGCCGCCGCCGCCGCCTTCCATTTGGATGAGGTGTGCGGGTGCGGTGCGGTGCGGCGTGAACGTGAGCTGACCTACTTCCAGCTACCTTAGGAGCCCACCTAGGCTAGGACGGTGCGGTCGACCTACCTACCTTACGACCTTACCTTACCTTAAGGTACCTTAGGTAGGTAGGCAGGCACACCTAACAAGAACAAGGACCGTGATCGTTGTTATTATTATTACTATGATTATGGATTGTCGCTCGTCCGCTTTGGCGCCCTCTGATGACGAGAGAGGAGACAGAGACGCCGAGAAGAGAGCGCGTCCGTCGTCCAGGCTGAAGCGCAGGACCCTATTCCTTGCACCTGCTTTTAGTCTAGGTAAGGTTGCTTCCATTGCCATTGCCATCGGCTCTTCAGTCTGTCCATGTACTGCGTAGACTGTGGTATCTGCACAACGCTGGACGCCTTGCATCTTACATCCTGGCACCTGGTTATCTCACCCTTACCTCTCTGCTTCGGTAAAGTAGCCTATCCCTGTCCGCCCACACGCCCCCTTGCTTGAGTCCTCTCGCTTTCCGGATTTGTTGTCACTACCTTGAAAACAAGTGCCCAGTATCCGTGCTTGTGATTAGCAGGTGAGTGCGTTGCAGATATTTTGCAGTCGTAGGGTATGGGTACTGTTCATATGCCATCCCATCCTGCCTACTGCAGCGAACCCAGGTACACAAACCTCTTCTCAACAAGCACTATGCCGGCGGCCGCAAGCGCGGGACAGAGCCGGTAAGGAACAGATGAAAGGCATAGGAAAAAA